TGCTCCCTGTTTTAGGCCCTCAGGGTCTCTTTCTGACACTTTCTGCTTCACGGGACTCCCAATTACTCTCGAAGTCTTTTCAGTCCAAGGTATTATCAGATGCTACAGCAGTTTCATGTTGCTAATTAGAATTAAACAGAGTGTATTAGAGAAATGCATATTCCTCAAACCATTAAGCAGCAGCTTCAATGTAAAAAGTAATTATTTGAAAAACTAGATATTATTAGATGGTGTCTAGTAGAAAAAATATGAAGAAATAAAGAATAAGCCAGACTCACCTCAATGTGGAAATTTCCTTAAAAATGGTATTTGTCACAAATATATCAAGTACGTGGTCAAAGCTACTCATCATAGAAAATCTTCCTTTTTTGCAACTGAGTTCTCTTAATTTTTAGCTAACTTAAAGCTTAATTTTTACTATTGTGAGTAGTTTGTAAGGTTCAATGCTTTTGGTATTTGTAAATCTTTCATAACATCCAAATGTCTGGACTGTTTTTCAAGGAGGAAAATACTTTAGTATTCGGCATGCTTTTGTTAGTAGTCTCTCTCTGAAACTTGAGCAGGCAGATTCATCGTTCTTTTGACTTCAGTTTCGAGTTTGTTTTTTTTATCCAGAAGGGTCATATCTGTTGTGCATGCTTGACAACATAATTACTATGTAATGTGTGTATTCATGAAGTACTAAAGAGGCATTTTTACTTATTTCCGCGTTGTTTATTTGCAGGGACATCCTGTTAATTCATGTGGTTTTGCTTTTCTTTCCATCACTGGAAAAGCTTTTTGCATGAATGTGTACTGTTTAGTTTTGTTGAGGGTTTTTTGTTGGGTTTTTTTGTTTTGTTTTGTTTTTGTAACTGTTTTCCACAGAGACTTGTAACGCTGGCGTTGCGGCCGCGCTTTGGATGCGCGCAGGAGCTGTCTGTAATCAGCAGCGTGCCTGTGCCGCAGGGACCTGGGTTTCCTGCAGCACCAGCTTAGCACAACCGCAAGTGAAAGGGGAAGGAGAGTCCTTGGCTCCCGTCTGCTTCCCATGGCAAGGAGTGCTCACCCATCTGCTTTTGTATACACCATTTTGCTTTAGACTTTTCTTTCCCCCCGCGGAAGAGTTTTCTTTCCCCCGGCGGACTAGCGGCTTTCCCCCCCGCGTGGCCCTACGAGGAGCGGACGGGTGAATGCCAGTGGCGCGCTGGCAGATGTCACGCTGTGACTTGGAAGCGCCGGTGAAGGGCAGCGTTTGCAGGAGTACTTGCTCCTAAAAGCCAGCCTCCCTCTTAGGGGATCCCTCCTGCCCTGGCCGGTCACCCTGCACACCTCGCCCCGCGCCGGTGCCCGTAGAGCTGTCGTTTGGGGAAGGCGGAAGAGAGATGCGTAAGCCGGGTACCAGAGTGAAAGAATATTCAACTTCTTGATGCCGAAGAAGTAGTGGCCAGAAGTGGGAGATGTGAGCAGGTAGAAGATACCGTGTTGGTTCCTAGCTGTAGGAAAGCAGTCTAATCAGTGCTAACAAGCTGGGAGAAACTAGCGACTGTCCAGTGGCGACCGAGTCTCTTAAAACCTTTTTGC